GCCTTGATATATGTATATAATCTGGTGCATCCTAACTTTAACATAAATTAATTATTTTTAAAATATAGTCATTTATTGGGTGGGGGCTCACCCCCTAATAAATGTCATTACAGAAAAAAAACCAGGAAAAAAAGTAATTTTTTTGGTAATATACTTGATACTTTTTCTCAAGTATCACTTTGTGGTACTTTATACAACACTGAAACTGAGTCCTCCTTTTTAGCTAATAAAACATTCAATAAATGATTGTAAACACACTAAATAGATCAACTTATTAAACCATGGCACAAGTGAAACAGATTTTCAGGGCCTCTGCTYGTCATCAGATTGTTTCCACAGTTTGAGTCTGTGGCCGCTAGAGGCCGCTGTTTTACCACGAACTGATCCCAGCGCAGCTCAGCTGCATCACTGGAGGTTTTTCCTCACAAAACTTAACATATCTGCATCACACGAMTCAACGCTTATCTACTCATTAATTTATGTGTTTTATGTAAGAATAAAATGTAACACAGATCCTCATGTTAATGATGAGAGGGTTCATTTTAGTCGTTTTAAGGAGTGATTTGATGCCACATTAGGTTTCACAGACAGAAAATTCAAAGTTTTATTATTGGAACAKTTGAGGGTTTACATTTCTAATTTTCTGAAGTATCCCAGATAAAAACGGAATCATTGCTGTTTAGAATTAATTAAAACACAAAATATGAACGTGAAACAAAACAGAAAAAAATGTAAGCTAATTTTAAGTTCATGTTTATAAAAAAGATCATGTCTTACCAGTTTGATGTTTTAAAATGACTGTTTATACTCGTAGTTTTTTTTCCCGCACTTTTACTGATGTTTTGCATCATAATAATGGATAATTCAAAATTCTGTAAAGTTACAATTAAAAAAGCCTTTCTTAAATTTCCAGACTATAATCGTACAAAGTGCTAAAATCTGTTCATCCATACTGTTAAAAAAATTCTGAGGTGTTAAATCCCATCATGCTTTGCACCTGGTGTCATTTAGTATAATTGTTTTTCTACACTTTTTTTGTCCCTTATGGTTTGAATTATTATAAAATTGAAAAGGAAGAGCCATTTCCACTAAAGAAAAAGTAATTACATTTCTGTTTAAACACTAGATTTGTGTTTGACCATTTTAACCCCGTTTCATTCATCTGCCTCATCTGTAAAGTGTTGTAATGGTGTTCTTGATTTGTCACTAAAGAATCGTAATGCATGAATGTCATTTCTCCTCAGAAAACACTTGCAAAGACGACCTTCATCTCCTGCAGCTTTGTGAAAGAATGATTGAACAAACAGCCGTGAATCATAAATTAAGCTTTCATATAAAAGTTATATTAACTGCTGTAAACTTGTTAAAAGTTATAGAAAAACAACATTAACGTGTGAGGATTACTCTAAAAGTTATTTTTCTATCAAGTGCAAAAAAATTCAACAAACGGCTCTATAATGCTGCACGTTTGTTCTGAACTGATCTGTTTCAAAATGGACRAAAAGAACTCAAATATCAGAATATTCCACAGTGAAGTTATATTTTATTTTTAAGTGCCATTCATGCATATTAGGGAAAAACAGGGGTGGGGGTGGGCGTTGGTTTCAGACAATTCTAATAACACTTGAGATATTTTACAGCACTAAACAAATACAAAGAGTAGCTGTGTCACCTCATCGGACAACAAAAGTAATAAATCGTGCAATAAAAACAAACAAAAAGACAGGGGGAGGGGTGGGGGTTTACAAGAAATGACAAAGACAAAAAAAATTAAACAAACTAAATACATATTTTCAACACTGAAACACTGAATGTAGAACCATAGTACAGGTAAAAGGTAGTGTCACACAAAAAGCCAACGCATTTTCATCACATATATACAATATAGATATATACAGACTGTCACCCTCTGATTGGACAATAACAAAATACTCTATTCTTTTTTTTCACCCCTTTCTCATGAATAAAACCCACCCTCTGCCTGGATACCACCCCCCGCCCCCCCCAAAAGGAAAAAAGGGATGATTGAAAAGACACATATGTACAAGCACAACACACCAGCACTGAATAAAATAGGCCCCAATCAGAAATAGATGTTGGCAGCTCTCTCCCATGTTGTAACGTTTTCATCTTTTTTTCTTTCTTTCCTAAT